CCTAAATGATCTTCAGCCCAGACAGGCATCTCCAGATCTTGGTTACATGTCTACATGTCTCTTTCCTGTAAACTGTACTGTATGCTACAGTTTAACTTTGCATAACCTTCCATATTAGCACTTCAGATCCCCTCCTGTCTCCGTAAACTTGTTGCAGTTATGATCTTATACTCAGTTACCATCTCATCTTCACTTTGTCTAATTTCTTCGAACTTTGAGGGTGAAAAACCGGCCATTAAAAACTAACACACTTCCATGTAAGAGTGATCCAGTATAATCAGCTCCTTCTGCTAAAAACCACTGAGCAGCTCCACTGCAAAAGCGCTGGAGTTCATGCCTGGCCCGGGGCAACAATTACAATAGTAGTTAGCCATTTACTTCCTTTGACAAGATTTCTCCAAGCGATTTCAGCTGTCCTTCCAATTACCACCACGCTTCACTGAACTTTAAGATAACCAGTGCACTAAGTAATGTCAAGTTCATGACTTAAGAGTTTCTGCTTTTAGTTTGCTCATTAACATTAATTACTCAACTTACATCTTAACTCTCCCTTAAGATTGTTACTTGTTTAAAAGACAAACATGATCTTTTCCTCTGCTGGTTAAGCGATGAAGCTTGAACCATTTTAAACATACTGGAAAAACATAAAAAGCTTACACAATTTTTAAACAATTACTCTTGGATTTAACTTTGCCAACTTGCTGATTAGTCTGCAAGTTAAGTTTATAAAGATGGTGTTCCATAAGTAACATATTTTCGCTCCATAGCTTGTTTACTCAAAGTTTAGTCCAATTCACGACGTCATTGAGCCATTACAAACACATGGACAGGTGAGGTGAAAGCCAAATGCAGTTGAGTGCGCTTAATTTGTACACCTGTTTTTTAACGAAATACCCACTCACTCAAGTAGAACGCCCATAAGAGCTGAGACACGCAAAAAGAATCACCCAGAACTTCACGTCCACTTCAATCGTTCTTTCTTTTTAAGCACTCAGAGTTGTACCATGTATGCATGCTACAAATTATCAGTATAATTCACATCACTGGCATCAAGATTTAGTGTCAGCCTGTGAAGTTGCATACCACGCACCTCACACACCGCTGTAAGACCGACCCACCCAAACGTCTGCATAAATATGTACACTATGTGTATGCAGCAACAGTGTTAGTGGAGTCATAGAAAAAGTACATTTATTCATAACACAAACGACGATCGTCAAAACGGACATAAAAATTCCTTCCAGGAGTTTGGCATTTAGCCCGAGCCAGGGTTAAGAACTCAATATCATCACATCTTGAAATAGGATTTGATGCTTTTGCTATTACGGTGCCAGGAGTTACTGAACAGC